TTATCTCCACCACTCTGCTGTTGGGCTGCCCACCTGCCCGGGCTCCCATACTCCCCTTTATTCCCTGCTTTTGAAGTGCAGCTGCTTTGCACAGCACAGCAGAGTGCCACACAGCAGCTGCTGAAATGACCAGGAAAGTGCAGGCTTGCAGGGGGTGAGTTAGGATGCCTGTGCACCTGTGCAAATGCCTCTGCACCCGCACAAAGTGCACATTTGGCACACACATGCAAAGTATGTGCATGTATGCAAAGCGTGCCCACTAAGCCACACCCACCAAACCAGTGGTAAAATTTTTTGAATCCCACCACTTGTGGTTAGCTGGCAGCAGGTGCGGACAGCTGAGGAGAGCGAGGACTCAGATGAGGGGCCAGGACCATTAGGGAGCTGCCTTCAGAGATTACGGGGGCTGGCAGCAGTGATGAGGAGGTTCCCGAGGAGCCTGTGCCAAATGCGCATGCATGCAGGATTGCTCAGAGGAAAGAGCAGTGACAATACTATGGGCTCAGCAATAAAGCTGCAAGGTTATGGCCCCTCCGTCAAAAAGATAAAAGGCAGCTGTGAAGCGAACGTTCTTTTGCAGGAAGCAAAGATGTTTTGAAACTCAGCCTCATGGACATTACAGTATCTTAAGTTGATATTTGAAGACTTGTGTTGTGAAATATTTCTTATCTGTGATTCTTGGCAGTCGTGTACAGTTTTGGCAAGGTTTGTGCTTATCAAAGTTAGTTAGTTTGCAACAGCCTTTTAACCGGGGATTTGTAAGAGTCATTAAAAGGTTACTGTTCCCTTTGGTTATTGTTTGTCTTATTGTAAAAAAGGTTTGGGTCAGAACACCACTGGTCTTGTTAATGTTCTGTATTTTACATCCTGTTTCTTGGTATGGTTTAATTATTCTAAATTATTCCAATATGTTCATGAGTAGCAAATTGGATTTATTAAAATCTAGTAATTTTTTTAAATTGATCTGATCCCAAACACCGCATAGCATTCTTCATTGCTTTTTCAGATCAGTGATGCCATTGTTTCAGAGACTCTGAATGATAGAAGTCAATTCCCATTTTTCCACCGGATTCTCCCCAGGAAAGGGATCACGTATCCAGCAATTGTCCAACTGCTCCTCCATTTCAGATGGACTTTGATTGGGCTCTTTACTTCAGACACAGAGGAGGGAGAGAATTTCATGAGGACTTTTACTCCTATGCTGGTCAGGAATGGAATTTGTGTGGTTATATCACAACAATTCTCAGCGACTGGGCATACAACACCCCTCAGGGATGCCATCTCTAAGTGGAGACAAGTCAATGTCTTTGTGAACTACATAGAACACGTTAACATCTGGGACAGAATCCATACTTTGCAGTTAACATTTGAAGGTGTGCCAGGACCAATTGAGAGAAAAGTGTGGATCGTGGAAAGCATAGAGTATTTGGTATTGAAGCGGGAGAGCCTTTACAAATATGTCCATAGTATTTGGAGCTTTGCTTTTCAGGAAAAAAAAGAGCCAAAAGATGATGCCCTTGGAACCAAACTCCTTGTGCAATTGGAAAATCGATATTTTCACTGTTCTTTTTCAAAGCATGTTTTTTCTGTGAAAGGACGGAAAAGATGCACCCAGAGGGTGTTACTGAAGCCTACAGAGGAAAGGAGGAGGATATGGATCCCATTTCACCTCCATTTACACAGTGTTATTAGTACTTTGGCCTACGCCTTGAAAGCTGCATATTCTTCCAGATCCAGGAGAATCCAGAAGAGTGAAGAGAAGTTGGGGGCTCCAAGGCTGCAGCCATGGCAGGTAGGGAGTCCCTAGCAGGAGCTATGAAACTTCAACTGACTTTATTTTGTCAGATTCAGGCTATATGCTGGTATTCTGCCTTACTTATGTGTCCCTCTTTCCATTTTCTATACTTAACCTTTTTGTCTTTCAGTTGATCAGAAAATTCTTTCTGCAACCATGCTGATTTCTTCTTGAGTATCTTATTTTTCTTTTTCAGTGGCATTGTACTGAACTGGATTTTTACAATCATATTTTTCAGGGTTTTCCAAGCATCTTGTTTTCCCCTTTAAGGTTTTCATTCATGGAATCCTTCCCAAGCTGTCTCTAAGTTTGTTAAAATCAGCTTTTTTAAAGTCTAGATTAGAGGTGTAAAACATGATCCTGTCATGGGCCACATCAGGAGTTTGCTAGTCCTTGGGGGGCTGGAGTCAGCATGGCCTGGTCATTGTGGCCAACCAGTGGGTGTGACTGGGCCAGAGGTGGCAGGGGTTGGTCCTCACCATCTCCAGAGTGGCCTGGCAGGCCAACCCTGCATGTTTGACACGTCTGGTCTAGGACATTGGTTTGACTATATTCAACTCTTTGTATCTGCATTATACTGCATTATATAAAAACTGAATGCATCAATTATCACATTAAACAAGAGGAAAACCTTCTACGCACCAATTCCACCCACGCTTTCTACAAATTTTTTAAACAACAAACTAAAAGACTCAAGGTCCATCCCACCCCTGAAAGGACCTAATGGTAAAGACTGCAATGATGACACCATTAAAGTCAACCTCTTTAACACATTCTTTGGCTCAGTATTTGTAAACAGCAATGGATCATGCCCAGTATTTCTTAGTCGAACCACAGACAACTACAATGATCTAATACATATCGATTTTAAAGATGGCAATGTTGAAAAAGCACTACGCAATCTAAAACCATCTCTATCTATTGGACCGGATGGAATAAGTGCCTACTTCTTAAAAAAGCTACCCACTGCCATAGCCGAATCTCTAAGCGTAATCTTTGAAAAATCTTTCAGGACCAGCTCCTTGCCAAAACTATGGTCACAAGCCATGGTCATCCCGATCTTCGAAAAGGGAGACCCCACCCTAGTTGAAAGTTACTGACCAATCTCTTTATGCTGCGTTACCTGTAAAGTCATGGAATCAATTATTAACCAATCCATCATCCTCCACTTAGAAACAAACAAGCTACTCTCTGAAAAAAAAATTGGTTTTAGGAAAAAACTATCCTGTAATCTGCAACTCTTACACTGCAAAAACATACGGACTACACAACTCGATCAGGGCAACGCAATAGACACAATCTACATAGATTTCTGTAAAGCCTTTGATTCAGTGGTACACAACAAACTACTCCTAAAACTAAAATCTTATGGTATCTCTGAACACCTGCATAACTGGATAGAAGCATTCCTGTCAAACAGAAAACAAATGGTCAAAATTATGAGCGTCCTATCAAATTCTGCACCTGTCAACAGTGGTGTCCCCCAAGGCAGTGTTCTAGGACCAACTCTCCTCATACTCTACATAAATGACCTCTGTGATCATATTAAGAGCAACTGCATTCTCTTTGCTGATGATGTAAAGCTACTCAACACCACAGACAATACTGCTACCCTTCAAAAAGATCTGGACTATGTATCAGAATGGTCAAACAAATGGCAACTTCAAATCTCAACAAATAAATGCTCTGTCTTACATACTGGCAAAAAAAATCAGAAAATAAAATACAGGCTGAATAGTCAAGACCTTGTTGATGATCCAAACTCTGTCAAGGACTTTGGAGTACTCATCTCAAATGATCTAAGTGCTAGAGCCCACTGTAACTACCTGCTCTCATGTACTAGTAACTGAAGTTCACCCCAATTGTTCTCCAAACTTTGAGTGTTAGTATAAAGGCATCTGTGTTCTTCACTGCTGATCCTGAATAGGCTTCCAACATCTCCCACTTTTTATCTGAGTTTTTCTTCCTTCCCATCACTCCCTACCTCCTTATAATCTTGGGGTTCATGCTTGGGATTAAGTCCTACAGATCCTAAAGACTGGTCCCCCTCCCCATTCAGATTTAGTTTAAAGCCCTTTAGACAAGCTGAGTCAATCATTTTTCAAACACAATCTTTCCAGTTCTTAGGAGGTGCAGCAGGCCATCCCTTGTCAGAAGCTCTTCATATAGACGTTGTTATAGACCATGGTCTAAGAATCTGATTGGGGTTTTTTTGTGGTGTCAATCCTTAAGCCAGTGGTTTATTTCTAAAACCCTTTGTTTGGCCTTGGAGTGTGTTGCTGTTGCTTGTTTTCTTTTAAAATAACTAATTTATTTATTTTATGTTTTTGCACAGTGAGCCAGGTGTTTAGATTGGATTTTAGCTATCGAGTTGGATAGGCAGTGTTGTAGAGCGAAGGGACAAACGAGGCTGAAGACCAGAGCATACAAGTGAAGGCTTTATTCAGGGGAATAAAGGGCTGTTGCTTCTGCCCAGCTAACAGGCAGACTGCTGGAGAACAACAACGGCTGGCTCCGTTCGGCAGCCGGCTTTTATAGCCGACTGTCAAATGGAGCCAACCAATGGGAGCTGCTGATGCTCCCGCCTAAACAGCGGACCTGGTTGGGAACTCCAACCAGTTCCAAAGACATAACAGGCAGATTTTGATGTTTTGTGTTATTAGAGGTATTGTTGCAAGATGTAAGTTTTTCCAAGTAAAGCTGCCTTTTGCAATTGATTGATGGCAAATTTTTCAGTGCCAATGGTTTTCAAATGGTGCTCCAGTTGTTTTGGGATTGCACCAAAGATGCCTATTACTATTGTTGCTACCTTTCCTTTCTATTGCCACAGTGGTTCTATTTCTATTTGCCATTCTTTATATTTTGTTGTCTTCTTTAATTCCTTCTTTTCTATGTTGCTCTCTCCTAGGCTAATAGACAAATTTGATCAATTAAATTTTGTCAGTATCTTGATTTTGTCAATGCTATATGATTGACTAATTTATCTGAATCTTTTTCACACTCAAAGGATAATATTAACACTTGTTCTCACAACTCACAATATTCGTAAGTTAGACAACTTTAGAAGAAAGATTCAGATGTAAAAAGACAAGCTGGGATAAGAAATCAAGGTTTCTGGTTTTAAAATTCCTGGATGTTTCTATTCTAGTTCCATCCATTTCTGGAGAAGAATGAGTTTTGCAATATTTCCCATCGGAAATTGTACTTGGATCAAAATGGAGATGTAGAAGCAGATCTGAACATCATAAGCTGGGTGCTTCATCTCAAGTGGAATCCCATTGACAAGCAACTGGGGAGTTTTGAAATGCAGAGATTTATAATCAATAAAGATACTCTGTCATGGCTAAAGTTGCTCAACAAGGTGGGAGAAATATTGGTGTTCTTTCTCTGTTTCTGAAAGCCTGAGTACCCATTTCAAGTTGTCTAAGTCTAATCAACAAGGTGGTCAATCTTCAGTGAGGATTGAATGTGGGGAGTAGAAACTTCATACTTTTCTTAGACTGCTTGGAAAGCTTTAGTATTATTGATCAAGGTGTCTTTTGTATGCAAAAATATGAAGCACTGTTTTAAGCTGATTTCACACTAATATGGGGTGCTGGGTGACAAATTATTAGGGCACTGGTTTTAGTTTCATATGAGTAAGATGGAAGCCCTATAAATTAAGGAAAGCATACAAATAAACAAAGAACATCTCCCTTAAATTTGACAGAAAGTTTCTAATTTGTAAGAAACTTCTGTGTATCTTAACTAAAAGACTACTTTAGGCTACTTGCAAAAGGAAGCAGCTTTGCAATGTTTTACATAGTCTTTAAGAATCCTTTGCAGTTACTATCAGTCATAAGTTTCTTTCTTCATCACAGTTTCATTTTACTTTCATAAATTTAATAGAATAAAACTTTAAGAAATCTTTTGAACTATAACCATCTGGCAGATGGTACAGGATAATAAAAACAATGACATATAGGCTGTAAAACAGCTTCTTTCCCAGGGCAGTAGCTCTTTTGAATTCTGCTGTATAGTGCAGTGTTGATGCGGTGTCGGGGGTTTCCAGTTCAATGTGTGGAGGGTGAAGGATGTGTGTTTGTGTTTATTTTCATGGTCATGATGTGCACTGAAGATGGTGTTTGATTTCATTGTATGAGGTGCAATGATAATAAACTAAACTAAACTAGAATAAATTGTATTCAAAAATTTAATATATACTAAAATCATGGAGAAATGAAGAATGGAGGAATTAATATTAATACATCCACACAAAAAAAACCCTCACTGGTTGTCAATGAATGCTTAAATCTTTTCTTAATTCCATCCCTCCAGACTTTATTAAATAGAAAAATGTTTTTTTGCAATGAAAAATTCCAAAAGAGATGAACTAAATGAAGAATCGGTTAGTAGTGGTATCTTCTGTGATTATTTAGAACCAGAGTTCATACTTATCTAATATTGATTTTGATTTTTTATGGATGGTTAGTCCTAACATATTTTCTTTGGCATTAATTGTTTTCTGCTTAGTCTCTGCCTCAGTCCAAATGTGTGGAAAATTGTCACCCTGGACTTGTCAAGTGGAAGCGAGAAGGAGAGCCAGTGTGCTGCTATGACTGTGTTCCTTGTCCAGAGGGGACCATCTCCACTCAGGAAGGTGCGTGACCCCAAAGAAAAGGGTGGGCCTTGTAGAAGTGGATTCATCCAGAGCATTTACATGGAAGTGCAAGTTAAAAGCTCATCTGTTTTCTTTTTTATTGTGAAACTGCACAATTTTTTATTTAATGGGAAAAAACAGTGAAATGACCTCAAAGTAGGGGTTGGGAAGAGATAAGATGATGTGACAGATTGGGCAACCTTTACTAATGTCAGATAAAATATCTCCTCGGTTTTTTTAGTTCGGATGTTTCCTTTTATATTTTGACATCAAGGAACATTAGGGGTTTTTTTTAAATGGAAAGATTATTGCAATGTAATTTATATGGGCCTATAATGGGAAGGCATCGCTGGTCTGCAATGAGCTATGGACACTTATGGGGAAATCTCATTTTACTCATATTACCATTGCTCCCATTACCCATTCTAGATTGTTTCCATGACTAAAGTTTTTTGTGTCAGCTTATTAGAGTTCACAAGATACGTTATTGGAGTCCATTATATTAAGAAGTGCCATCCTATAGGACTCAGGAAGTATATATAGAAAGATTAATGTCTTCATTGTTAAGCTCTAATTCTGTATGTTTTTATGGAGATTCTGCACATTTCATAGGAGATAGATAGATGGATGGACAGCTAGGTAAAAGATAGATAGATAGATAGATAGATAGATAGATAGATAGATAGATAGATAGATAGATAGATAGGAAGGATAGGATAGGATAGGATAGGATAGATATTGTAGATAGATACAAATTATAGGTTTTTTTGCTTCAACTTAAATGTTTCTTTGAAAATATTCATGGTATCAGCTGTTTTTCGAAGAATGTATTTCTTCAAATTTAAAATGGCAGAATGTTGAAGAAATATTGGTTTGGTTTGGTTTGGTTTTTGCAGATATGGAAAAATGCACCAAATGTCCAGATGATAAATATCCAAATAAGGACCGTGTTCACTGTATCCCCAAAGTAATATCCTTCCTGTTGTATGAAGACTATCTGGCCATCATCCTAGTCTCCTTTTCCCTACTCTTGTTCCTAACAACAGGATTTGTGTTAATCATGTTCCTTCAGTACCAAGAAACTCCCATTGTTAAAGCCAACAACCGGGACCTCTCTTACATCCTCCTGGTCTCTCTCCTGCTTTGCTTCTTCTCTCCTTTTCTTTTCATTGGTCAACCAAGGAAAGTTACCTGCCTCTTCCAACAAATGATTTTCAGCATTACCTTCTCAGTTGCCATTTCTTCACTCTTGGCCAAAACGATCACAGTGGTTCTGGCTTTCCTGGCCACAAAACCAGGAAATAAAGTGAAAAGATGGTTGGGGAAGAGCTTGGCCAACTGCATCATCTTTTTTTGTTCTGCTGGCCAAATTATCATCTGCTCCATCTGGGTTGGATATTCTCCCCCATTCCCTGACTCTGACATTCACTCCCAGCCTGGAGTGATCATCCTGCAATGCAATGAAGGGTCCGTTGTCATGTTCTACATCACCCTCAGCTACCTGGGCATCCTGGCTGCCATCTGCTTCACGGTGGCTTTTCTGGCCAGGAATCTGCCTGGTAGCTTCAATGAAGCCAAACTGATCACCTTCAGCATGCTGGTCTTCTGCAGTGTCTGGGTGAGTTTTGTGCCCACCTACTTGAGCACCAAAGGAAAATACATGGTGGCTGTTCAGGTCTTCTCCATCTTGGCCTCTGCTGCTGGTCTTCTGGGCTGCATCTTCATTCCCAAGTGCTACATTATCATTCTGAGGCCAGACCTGAATACAAGGGAGCAACTTACAAGAAGAAATGAAGAGATATGAGAGAAAGAATTTTTTAAATCCCAACATTTTCCAACAGTCCACACCTAAAAAATGGCCCAAGCTGTTCTCCATATATAAATAGGACAGCAATTTTGGTTGAAATAATTAAAGGGTGTTGGAAGGTAATGTCCCTTACTTTGCACAGTAAAATTGCAAGATGTCTGCTGGGTTATTTTTTTAATCCTCATGGCACCATGTCTCTCCTATTTCCTTAATCTACATCCAGGTTTTTGAAACATCACACTTGTACAATGGAAATTTTGTTCATATGCCAGAAATATATAGTGGCAGGGAAGGAGGTGTTAAGAATTCCATGATTTTAGTTTTGTTTTTTAGAGACAAGATCAGTGGTGGGATTTAATTTTTTTTACTACCGGTTCTGTGGGCGTGGCTTATTTGGTGGCCATGCTTGAGGTCACGTGACTGGGTGACTATGGCTTGGTGGCTGTGTGAATGGAGTGGTCATGCTTGGTGGCCATGTGACTGGGTGGCCATGTGACTGGGAGGTCATGTGACTGGGTGGGCCTGGCTTGGTGGTCACATGACTGGCTGCGTGTCTGGTTTCCAAGTGATGAAATCCATTTTAAAAGAAAATAACAAAGTCCATCTGACAAAAATATTTCTTTTATTTAGGAAAGCATCAAATTGGCAAAGTCCATGGTAATTCTGGATCTGACCAAACTCGGAATTACTTCACAATATTAGAAGTTAGAAACAATCCCCAAAAGTCACATTCTCCAATAGAAGCAATTCAACATTGCTTGATGTCATAAATCTCCACCTCTGGAGGCCCAAACCTGGACATCTCATTTCCCATGGGAAAGAAGGTCACCTAGCCATAACACTCTCTTTATCTCTACTCCTCCACCCTTAGGAATGTGTCTAGCCCAAAACCCTTCCCTCCATTACTGCCACAGAGAAAATAGGAAAAAGAATATATACTAAGCCTAACTAAAAAGGCTACACTTATATAAATTTGGGGCTTGACAGGCTGCCCTCCCTCACTGGAAAAGAAAACCCCTGCAATGACATAAAATACAAAAGATTGAAATTTAGTTAAACACAATCATATAATGCACAATTTTAATCTCCTCTGCCCCCCACAGAATTCGGTTTTGGCTTATGTGGATATTTTTCATGGAATCTCCCCAACAATCTATCAGCATTTACTTTCCAGCTATTAACTCAAGTCGCTTGTGAAATTGGATAGCCATTCCAATAAATCAAATATTGTAACTTCGCCCTAAAAATCCTAGAATCCAAAATTTTCTTAACTTCATAATGTTCATGGCCTGCAATGAACAAAGGCTTTCAGGGTGCTTGTTCTGCAGGCCTCAAGGAAGAAGTAACAACCAGCTTTAATAAACTACTGTGAAACACCGGATGTACCTTCCCCAACAACCTAGGGAGATTAAGTTTCACAGTTACTGGGTTTATTACTTTAATTATCTGAAAAGGCCCTATAAATTTTGGAGTTAATTTTCTAGAAGGTAAATATAACTTTAAATATTTAGTTGACAAATAAACTGTATTCCCAACTTTAAATTGTGGCTGCTGGGAATGGTGTTTGTCAGCTTGTACTTTTTGGATCTGTGCTGCCTTATTCAAAGCCTTTTTTGTGTTTTTAGTCTTTAATTGTGTCCATCCACTCAGTTACTGACATGAATGGGGGCAGGTGTCCTTCGGCAATTCAGGCATGGGAACGAACTCCATCCCAGTATTGATTTGGAAAGGTGTTAACCCAGTACTACTATGTACAGCATTATTATAAGCAACCTCTGCAAATGGCAGCAAATCAGCTCAGTTGGTTTGTTGATAATTTACATAACATCTCAAACATTGTCCAATAATTTAGTTACTCTTCTCAGCCAATCCGTAGGTCTGGGCATGGAAAGCTGAACTCAGACCTTGGGTGGAACCATTCAGATGCCTCTTCCTCCAAATTATCTCCAAGGAATTGGACTAGTTCTGCCTCATCGTGGAACTCATTTCCATGTCTCTCAATATAAGACCATGCTCTATTCATGAAAAATGCAAGTTTGCTTGCCGTCCCATCAAACATGGTTTTAAAAGGTGTTGGGGCATGCGTCTGTGGAGCTGGTTGCAGTGGGGGAGGTGGGGAGGGAGGTGGGGCTGCAGCCTGAGCTGGCCTCATTTAAGCTTGTTCCCTAATCCATCCTCTGCCTGGATAAAATGTCCATCGGGAGGTAAAAGAGGTGGGGGGGGGAGGGCTTGTTCCTTGATGGATTCTTTGTGGACTCCCCCATCACTTCCCCCCTCTGTGTTCCACTCTCTGAGGTGAACGATATATTGATCGAAGGTTTCCTGCAGCAGTACATCACCCTCTTCTGGGAGGAGAATATTCTCCCAGCAACTGGGTTAAACCAAAAGTTGACAAGCTGGAAGCTCTGGTTTCATGATCTTTCCGGGGGGGGGGGGGACTTGTCTCCTTTGCCAGCCCCTGCTCTCACATCTGATCACAAGCTGTTCCAGCTGGTTGGGTAGATCCTTGAAAATTTGGCTGCATACTGCCATTTGGAATTGCCATTCAGCCAGTGCATTGTGGCCTCCTCTCGGTCCTATAGTTCCCGTTGCAGCTCTCCACTCTAAGATCGTGGCTTGAAACTCCCTGGCTGCGTTAATGGTTGATCGATCAGTGGGTCAGGAAGGGTTGCTTGGCCAAGCAGGTCTCTCTCCCTTTCAAAGCACATGGGAGACGGCGGTGGCGGGTGGGGGTGTCGCAGCTATGGAAAGCCCCAGGAGTCTCTGGCCTCCCTATCGGGGCACCTCCATCCCCACTCTCAGCTGTGCTTTCAAGTTTGAAATTCCTGCTTCTGCCCTGCCAAACTAATTACTTCAGTTTGGTTTGTTTGGATTTTAAGTTACAGTTTGTGTTGCTCATGTTTTGGATTTGATTCTCTATAGCCAAGGGCTGTTCCAGGGAGTTTTTCTCCAGCCTGAAGGTAACCTGGACATAAGGGCAAAGTTGGAGCTAATAAAGGGACTCTTATTGCTTATCTGACTGTGTTACCTTTCTGCCACACCCCGGGTCATCACATTCATTTACCTCACCAGCTGAAAGCAGGTCCAGCACAACATCCTAAGTCATTCTGACATTCAAATAATTGTCATTGAGATTGAAATCCAGGTGGATGTTGGGAAAAGTTGGAGATCTCAGATGGCCTAAAGAAATGAGAGGACTTTCCAGCAGTCAATGGATCCCCTTCTGGAAATAGAGGAGCACTGCCATTTATCCTTCACTCAGTCCATATAAGACTTTCATTTCTGCTAGTACTTTTGATCTGTATGGTAGTCCTTTGGGTTTGAAGTTGTACAGTTCCTCTGGGTTGGCTCTGCAGTCCCAGCCTGGAGGTTCAGAGTCTACTACAAGGAGGGCACGGAAAGTCTATTGTGTTGTTCTGTGATACTATACAGAGTTTTCTATCTGTTTTGGGTGGTGCTTGTGTTTAAAGCTGGTGGAGACTGTATAGCACAGGGCTTGCCAATTGTTCACAGCTGCAGCTTTATGTTCCCTTGACTGGATGTCACAGTGGCTTAGGGTTGCTTTCACAGAATCTTCCCTGCTCTTGCATTGTAGATGTTTAGGTATCTACCCTGACTCAAATACACAATAAGAGCAACTGGCAAGATATTCTGATAACATGTCCCCCACACCCAATTTCATTTGGACTCTGATAATCTCAGAGGTTGTGGACCCTTTTCATCACTTCCAGTATTTCCGGAAATGCAGGAAGTGATGAAACAGGACTGTTTTTTGGCCTCCAAAGGCTGCAGAGGCTTCCCTCGAGCCTCTGGGAGGCTGAAAAAGGCCTGAAGATCAGCTGGGAAGTGCATGCATGTGCAGTGAGGTAAGTTTGCCTGGGGCTCGCATGCCTGCACAAATAACTGTGTGCTACCTGTGGCACATATGCCATAGGTTTGCCATCACGGCTTTAGAGTTTTGATTTCCCTACTAAAGAGTCCCATTCATCTGGAAGCTGATTTCACCCACACTATTGTGACTAAACAGGTATTGTTATAGGTTTCTTTAGGACTATAGAGGAATAGAAATAGGAATAGCTTTAGGAATAGGAGGAATACATCCTTTCCATGTGCATCTTGCTCCATGCCTTCCCTTACTTGTCAATTTTAAACCAATGTCAGTGGTACTATTTATTGTCTTAATCTTTCTTCTTTTTTCTTGATTGTAAACTAACTAGAGTCATTGAGCCAAGATGGGCAGCATTTAAATTTAATAAATGAATAAACAAATAAACATTAAAAGATCAAAACCTGTTAACCAAGCCTACTAAGTGACATTTTTGAAAAGAATAATAGATTTGTAAAAGTCATTTTTAAATTTTATTTGGACATCAAATATTATTTGGTATTCAGATCTGGTCTAAAAATGATAGTGTAACATTGGGGCTGATGATGCAGCCCAGCAAGCCAGCACTGGAGGCCAAGATGTAGAAGACCTGCACAGCCACTGTGTACTCCCCTTTGGTGCTCAGGTAGGCTGGCACAAAAGACATCCAGACACTACAGAAGACCAACATGCTGAAGGAGAGCAGCTTGGCTTCGTTGAAGGCCTCAGGGAGATTCCTGGCAAGGAAAG